GGCGCACCCTTAGAGATAGGGTGAGGAGCTCAGTCACCTGGGAGGAGCTCAGAGTAGAACCGCTGCTCCTCCACATCGAGAGGAGCCAGCTGAGGTGGCTCGGGCATCTCTTTCGGATGCCTCCCGGGCGCCTTCCTAGGAAGGTGTTCCAGGCATGTCCCACCGGGAGGAGGCCCCGGAGAAGACCCAGGACACGCTGGAGGGACTATGGCTCTCGGCTGGCCTGGGAACGCCTTGGCATTCCCCCGGAGGAGCTGGAGGAAGTGTCTGGAGAGAGGGAAGTCCGGGCATCTTTGCTTAGACTGCTGCCCTCGCGACCCGGTTCCGGATAAGCGGAGAAAAATGGATGGATGGATAATTGATTAGAAAAGCAATAATATCACAGGGGCCCACTTTGAGGATTACTGATCGACTTTGCAGGCTGTGCCGAACATTAATATGAAGTCCAGATGCTCCCAGTCTGAGAGGCAGGACATAAATCTGCCACCAGTCTGTGCTGACAAGACGTCATCACACAGAGTTCATGCTTAGAAACATGGATTTGTATTTTGTAAAACATTTAGAGATCTGATCTCAAACTCAAAAAACCAGAAGAGAGCATGAAAAAGGAATTAGGCTGCTTCACAAAGACTGAACGGGCGAGACCAAACTCTGAAAATGACTTGCGTTAAAAAAAATCTTTAAAGAAAAAAATCTTTCAAAAATACAACCACAACACCGTCCCTATGGGCCACTCTAAACCAGCCAGGCCTTTGAATCCAGTTCACTGCACACAGTCAGTTTACAGTCACAACTGTGGCTAATTACCTACATAAAGCGTATGGGTCTTGTCATATGGTTTATAGCATCAATTAAGAAAAAACTTGTAATCAAACACAAAGTGATCTTTGATCCAATGATCCAGATGGTGACAAGCTAAAGGAGAACCATGAATAGATAAGTAAAGATTAAAGATGCAGATGCGTCCATACAACAATAGGAGCCCAGTATGAAGAAAAATGTGGCCTCCACCCAGCTGAGCGCAGCCCTCCATTATTGAAACACTGAGGGAATATCTTTTGCAAGAATGTCATGTGTCATCTGTCTTAGGTCTGTCCAGCCAGATGGCTGTCGTCTCATTCTGTAGCCACATCTCTTCTCAGAGAAACTAATCCCTGCCTCTTGTTCCTTCACGGATCTCCCTCTCTGCTCATCATGCACGTTATGTTGAGGCAGACCAGCACAGTCACAGGGGCATGGTTTAATCTTTGTTTTTCCTCTGTTGCCTGGTCTGTCTCTCCTTTTGTCCTCGCTGACCCATTTGAGCACGTTCAGGTACAACCACGGCCCAGCGAGACTCTAAGACGGGGCTCCAGGGCTTGTTGCCTAGCAACAGGCAGCAAGCAGGCCTGTGTGGCAGTGGTACTTTTATGTAAATGCGGGTGTGATGGTCGAATGTAGGGCGCTTAGTTAAGGACGTGTGTGTGAGTGGTTGGACAGCAAACACAAAGGGAGCACAGCAACGTCTCTGTGGACATGAATACGGATGATGGTGTGAGCAAGTGTCCGGCTTTTTGTCCTCAGGACATTAAAATAATGAAGGTCCTACTTTGCAATGCAGGGCACAATAATAGTAATAATCATCATCATTTTAAATAGCAACATGCCGATTAATCAAGGTGATATTTGGCATAGGCCGATATCTGCCTCAGGAGGCCAAAATGTGTCCACAGCTTCATCAGTGTCTTTTTTCACAAATTAGTGTTTTATTACATTTGGGGTTTTTTTTCAATTCGATATCAATTGCAATTGATATCAAATGATGTCTGCCTATTTCACACAATTATATTTTATTAACCAACTATAAACTGCAACAAAGGTATCATTTCAAAAACGTATTGAGCTCTTTTGTTCGCTGTCAAGGGCAATTTATATACAAAGAAGGACCAACGATGACTTTCCAATTGAACAAACTTTTTTGAGACAGGAAGCATTTACATTGTCACATATAAAAAAAAAAAAAAAAAAAAAAAAAAAAACAAAGCTGTGAAAATACTTCCTACATTGCAGCAACCTTAACCTTAAACCTTAACATTCACAGTTACTGCTGTATGTGTCCTTTTTAATCCAGAATACTTCTCTACCCATAAGGATAATCTAAGGAAAATCACCTTTATTGGCCAAGTATGTTACACACAAGGAATTTGTTTCCGGTACAGAACCGAGGCCACTTCTATATCAGAATTACTGCAACAGAATTTGTCTACTGGCTACTTCAAACCTGTATTCCAGGGTCCAATCCCGGTCCTCAAGGGCTGCTGCCCTGCCCACTGCTGATTACCTGGATCAGGTGTGTTCATTACCTGGGGTTCATGTGCAACAACCACAGCAAGAGACCAGCCTGATTTACTGACGGGACCCCACAATCACAACATCCTTAGCATTAAATTATAATATGCTAACGGTGCACTGCTCTTGTGTTATCATAGAAACATGCTCTTACATTTATATGGTGTTTTTCCTTGTACTCCTGGTAGGAAGTCCTTAATGAGGCTACTAAAATCCAATTGCGCTGAATCTGCTGATGTTTCCACATCAGCTGCTTACTGTTGTTTTCGGGGCGGAGATGGACCGAACAACCTATGATACTGTTCAGAAATCAGCTGAGCGACACCTCTGAACCACTTCAGCAAAAAAAAAACTGTTTTTTTGAACGTGTCTCAGCCTAGTCGCTCGCAGTCAGGCTCAGTGGATTCACCTGCATGTTTCTGCCCCTGTCTAACCACTGCTGGGACCCTGGGACGCACAGCTGCAGTTGCAGCCTCGGTCTTTTGTGCCCTAATAAGGCCGTCCTGGCGGGATTGGTGGAGCATGGGACATGACTAATTCCTGGGCAGTGCTGGTACGACACAGTCCGGGCCGTCGGTCGCTCGGTCTCAAACTCCTTATCCGAGTGAAACGGTTGTGAGGCCTGGTCGTGGTCTAACCAGAGCTAGCTGTGGCTACTGCGGCGGCGGCGGCTAGCTCCACCGCATCGATGCTAACATTAGCCTTATCTGAGAGTGGACCTGCGTCGCTGCCTAGATGAGGTTTCGACACTTCTAGAAACATCTAGTCAGCTTAGGGACATTGTTATTGGACCTTGGTCACACTGTTCATTTCGTTTTTGTGCTCAACTGTAGCATTTCCGGTCGTACATTTTGCCTACAGTTACCCTGAATGCCACGGTAGCGACACCAATTGACCTTATGAAACTCGCACCCATTTTCCAACCAGCTGATTAATATATTTTTACAGTTTAGGGGTCAGGGGGTAGTACTGTTAAGAAATACATTTAGTTGTTTTGAAGTATCGAGGCCTACTTTAAGTGTTTCCATTTTCTGCTACTTCCGATTTGGACTAAACTACATTTCAGATTCAAATCTTGTACGTTTTACTGCAATGTATTTGATAGCTTTAGGTCCTTTTCAGAATTAGGAGACTAAAACAAAATACACACACACACACACATATATTTATACCCAGAATTCACAAACTACCCAGCAGTATGTAAAGTGCTTCACATTATAAGTATATCGTTTAAAGTAGTTAACATTAGCCCAGCTGCAACATTAAAGTGATGAAAACAATAATTACAAGTAATATAATATAGACTACATTAATGCAAAATGTGCCATTCTGCATAATGATATTACTTTTGTACTTTGCACACACAGGGCCCCTGGACTGCAGCGTTGGCCTGTGCATTAATCTGTGGCCTAAATGCAAAGTGTTCAAGTAATCATGAACACAGCTGATTTATTATAATGTCTCCATCATTCACTACTACTTTTACACTGAGACAAATCATGACAGCAAACAGCTTTTTTAGACTGGAAATTCTTTACAAATATTAAACATTCATGTTTTTAAAAATTCATCATATAGAGAATAACATAATTAGCAGTTTGAGTGTTCAGTTAGAATTTAGTCTTTGAATATTGTTTCATTTAATTTTCATCTACTTCTCCATCTCTATTTTATACAGTTTAATTAAGGTTGTGTATTCCAGGTTGTGTGTTGACTTATTTTTGTACACAGTTGTGAGTTTTTTCTTCTCAGAGTGGCTTTGGGTTTGTGTATCATATTAAAACTGTTTGCATGCTGCGTTGCCTAGTTGTACATGTCTGCGTGTGTGTGGCTGTGCTTCTCCCTCCTCTCTTCGCCTGTCAGCTCAGATGTCAGTGGACTCTGTGGTCAACGGAACAGCATCACTGGCAGGAGGCGGTTGCCATGGTGAAAGTGACGTCTAAATAATTTCCAAACAACTTCAGAAATTGTTAGTTTGACTTGAGTAATTTTAGCCACTTTCACCAACAGATGCAGAAACAACGCTGATCTAAACTCTGCTGTTGTTTCTACCTGGGACCCCTTTCGGCAGCAAGGTGAGGGCTCCAGTATCATTTCCCATATACACAGTTCAGTCAGGAAATGAACTGACTGTGATGACAGCTGTATCTCTGCACCCAGAGCTAGAAGATAAACTCCCTTCCTGATTATTTGTTGTTGGCTTCAAAGTGAAGATGCAGTGATGGGGGGTGAACAGAGACTTGTATTAGCTGTGAATCAACACTCCTCTCTGGACGCTGTTTCAACTTGGCTGCTTCATTTGATCCAAACAACAGGCTCTCAAGCTCCAAGGTAATAATCTGTGCTCAGATTAGATGCTACAGACTGTGTCTGTGAGGCAGTGTGTGCTGGTAAAACAAGATTTTACATTACAACAGCATGAGTCTATCTGCCAGGGTGGCTTCACGGTCAGACTGCTATTACATACTAGACAACTAAATAGCTTGAAGCATGAGAATAATGAACTTTGTCATTGCTATTATTCACAGCTAGTGAGATAAACAATGTAAAGGTTGTTGTGAGAGTAGCACCAGAGGAAAGGTCATAAACTGAGGGGTTTATCTTCTGATCTCTAACTCAAGCTGTCAGACTTTATTCTGGCAAAGTCTAATCATGAACAAGATGCTGCTGAGATGGTTGCTCTCTCTGCAGAAGACTTCTACAGTAACTGCTGGGTTTCTGGGAACACTCCGAGCTAGAGAAATGGTTTATAGTCCTATCGTAGTCCACACCTCACCACAGTTTGATCACAGAGAGTTCCCTGAATGTCATGTCTCAGTTTCTGTCCTGACATGCAGCGTGAACTGTGGATATACACAGTTTTACATCAAATAATTTAGCCATTGTTATTGAAACTATGCATATTTAGGGCAAAATCTTTGAAAGGTGTGACAATGAAGTAAAAAATTCATAATCCATGCAAACTTTCCAAGTTTGTCATGTCACTAATCGCATATGAAACCTACCTGGTGTTTTTGTTTCCTCTAGTGCAGTTTGTTCAGACATGCTGCTGAGTATCTGCAGTCTACACCAAGAAGCCATCAGGAGAATGGATTTGGCAGCACTTGTGTTTGTGGTCTGTTGGATCAGGGAGCTCTAGGAGCAGAAATGAGTCAAACATACATGGAGCTCGGAGTACACTTTGACCTCTGACCCCAAGGTCAAAGCTGCCTGGATAATAAAACCCATTAGACCCTGTCTGGTAGTTGTGGTCTGTTCCTGGTCGTCTCTGTTGGTGCTGTTCACTGGAGCTGTTTCATTACAAATCCAAATACATAAAACATGTTTTCTTCCTGTGGACATGAAAAATACCGAGTCTTACAAGATGTCTGACAGCATGTTATTTAAACAAATGTGCCATTCAGGGATGTTGTTACAGAAACAGCAGCAGCCTCAAACTAAATTATGCTCATGTCTTTACTCACAGTGGACAGTACAGGCCAATGTTGATAATGTTGAATTTTGATTGAGTTCTATTAGATTCATTTCTAAAAGGTTTACCCTCTTTAATGAATTCTCATTACTGCTGCTTTTCATTCATTCAACATTCACTTGGATTTGTCACATTGGGAGTAAAATATATTCAGTCACTGCTTTTTCATCTACAGTATATTTTAGGTGAAATCTTTAAAAGTGCCAATTTGCCAGAAATGTTCCAGATGTCTGGTGCATAATTAACTTGAATTTTCCTAAACTTCGAACATGTTACATACTGTATGAGTTAATCAATGTCTGCGTTTCCTTTGCAGGCTTAGCATCTTTGGTGTTAGCCAGAATATTGTGCTGATTTTTTTAAAGCAACAGTTGAGTCTCTCTTATGCAGGAAGGTATTTTATTGTGATGTTTTAAATTGTGTTATTGTTATTCATTGTGTTAATAATGGTGTGTCTCTCAAACCAAAATAATTTCTTACAGGAGAGACAAAGAGCCTTGACCTTGACATATATTATCTGGATTTGGTATCTACCTGCTATCAGACACCTCCAGAAGGCCTGGAGTGTCGCTATGCTAAGACCCCCTCTCACCCCAACCACAAGCAATCACAGAATCGCACCAGCAGGTGAAAGAAGAGTTTCCTCCATGCAGCTGTTCCTCGGACTGTGAATCACCCCTGTACTGTCACTTTTCCATATAGGTCCCTATTTATAGCACCACTGTACATATTCATCCATAATATTACTCTACTTGCTGTTCCGGTGCCAAACTGCATTTCATTGTCTCGATGCATTTCATTGTCTCGATATCTTGTGCAGTGACAATTAAGATGAAATTGACAAACACGTGCACTAATTGCCACAGTTATACAGTACATAGGCAACAGTGTTCCCCTGATGTGCCAATGGTTGCCATGGCAACTCCATTCTCCACGTCTCTACCTCCTCCGTTGTTTCCCCCTCTTCCTCCTTCATGGCCAACAGAAAATCTATATGAGGCAGGGAAACGAGAGACGCACAATCAATTTGTCCTGGACACAGGCTGTTTGTGTGGCGACCGAATGCTCCGAGCCGTTAGCTTTGATTTACACATTTATTCATTGGTGATGTCTCTATTTGGGAACACCCACCTAAAGCAGAGACTAGTGCAGGAGAACATCAGAGCTGCTATATACACAAGAACTAGTGACAATAACAGTGACATTTATTTGGCTTTATCATTGTATCTATTCACCTAACATGACTTTGAAAGATGGTGGAGCAGTTTGTGGGCACATACCATTTTCTATGCTTGTGGTCAGCAGAGCATTTGGTCACCACACACCTCCAGGACAAACTGCTTGTCTCATTTCCCTCTCCTGTATGGTGCTTCTAATGACAAACACACTGCTCCTGCTGTCCCCAGGCTTATGTGTGTGTTTGATCAATAATGGTTTTTAATGTAGACTGAATTTGGTTATGTTACAGTCTAATGACATCACATCCAGACTAGTTTCTTGTATTTATTAAGCCCTAAAATCTGAGCAAATGATTGATTGCTCATCGATGTCCTTAAATTCTTCACATGTAATCGTTAAGGAAGGGGTCAGAGGTCACAGAGCAGTAACAAAGGGTGGGATGTGAAATATGGCTGCAGTCACAGACAGGTCAATATGTACCAGCCTGAAGTATCTGGCTGCAGGAGTCTGACTGGGCGTCTGCTGCCATCTGATGGATGGATTCACACACTGCAGGAGGCTTGATGACTTTGTGAGTCCACACGTACGGCTACAACAAATCAGATAACGATAGCATGTTTTCTCATTACCATCACAGTTTCTGCTTTTTAATTGTTCTACCAGATGTCAAGATTCAGTTTCCTGCTCCAGAATGACAACTGGCTCCTGTACAGTGAGATAATCCTTCACTGGAAATGTTTTACTGTGGAGGAGTTGCGTTGTCCCATCTCTTAGCGTTTATTCCTGCTTGTTTAGCAGCCAAACTGATTTATGTCACAGAGAACACAAAGCTGGACAAACAGCAACTAATCAGAAAGTTCATGAGAAGAAACAACGCTGTTACAGTGGTCTAAATGTTTGTCTCGCCTGCACCCAACCAGTTGAATCAGTAAAGTGAATGCAACTCTATCTCAGATGCACATTCGCCACCTGTTCCCACCTGATGCTGTGGGTCTGCTGGTCTATTTATCCTTCTGAAGCATCACAGCCTGGAAGTTTTCTGACAATGATGCTGTGACTGAAACTTGCACTTTTCTTTCACATTTTATCACCTAAACAAATTGAGAACATTTTCTGAATGAGTAATGACATGAACACTTGCACACATCCTGCTCACTGTGTTAACTCACAGAAGGAAGAGTTATAACACAAACGGGTCTGACAGCTTGTTGACTTTTCCTTACTGGAACGTTAACGTTTTCCATGCACACAATACAATGATAAATGGTGCAGGACTGTTTCAGTAGCAGGTCAATTACACTTTGTTGTGTATAAAGTTTAAGAAGGCTAATTTATTTGATGTATTACATATCTAGTTAGTGGTTTGACGTTTTAAGTCTTTCTAATCTAGTTCAGTCCTTGAAGATTTCACATACTTGTGTCAAAACTGGTCAGTGAGAACAGTGTGTGAGACGTCTGCAGCTGAACAACGGAGCCCATCAGGTCTGATACAGATAATCAGCCATCAGCTTGTCGGTCAGGGACCAGATGGTTTAGGATCATCCAGCAGGTGTCTGCTATCGGTTAGAGCTCTTCCTCTTCATGCTTGTCTGATGAAGTGATTCATCAAAAACCTTTCAAGAGGAACAAGACAGAGTTGTTCTCCTGGTGTGGAAATGAAGGCAACTACATTTGTCACACGAAGCCCTCTCAGGTCCGATTTTCATCTCAGTGAAAATCAGCAACAGAAAGCCCACCAGTATTTTCTATCTTAACATGTCTGGAGGCTAAAACGTATAAGAATGGTACACTATCCTGACTGTGCTCACCACCCAGTGCTTTCTGCTTCCCTCCAGTGGTTGAACTTCTCACCTTGCTGCAGTGGTGTACAGGTGCACTGCAGGACTTCATGACATCACTGCTGGCTGCCCCAAACATCTTCTTAGACAATCATTTATTGGTCTTCCTCATTTGCAGCATTTTTCCTTGACAAGAGCTGGTGTTCACTGTGATTCTATATCAATTCTTAATCAAAGCGGACGCTCATCCAGAGAGGAAATAGCACCAATATCTACAGGCCCCTGGCTCCTGGTCCCAGTTGTCTTATCATAAGTCCTACAAATTTTGAGTTGTACTTTGATGTTAGAAATCATTTGACCAAGTTGTCTGGGGCTCAGACAGGCTGTGAAAATGGGACTAAATAAAGGCAAAGGGACACGAGGCTTATATAAAAATTAGACCCCTTTTATTGTGTTCTCATATATAAAAGAAATACAAAAAAGAAACAGACACCAGGCAAGGGTCAGGGCAGGACAGGGGTTCTGGATGGGGGTGGGTCGGTGACCGGGCGACATACAGAGGGGAAACAACAGGAGGAACGTCAGACAGTCTGAGGGGATCGGTCGACGGACAGCGAACAGATGAGGGTGGATGAAAACAGAACGGAGTGGTCCCGTTCAGTCCCTCCCTCCCTCCCCCACCATGTCTCCCTCCCCCTCTTCCTTTACAGACGCAGTGGAGTTTCAGTTTCACACACATTCATTGAAAGCAGAGCTGTTTCAAACTGCAGGAACAGCCTCAGTGGTTGAGTTAAACCCCAGTGGGAGGAGCCAGCAACATCTTCAAAGCACTTCTGGGTGAATGAGCAAATCTGGAAAAGAGCAGAGACGTAACTTTGTGACATTCATGACATTTGTCAGGTTAGCATGTTAGTTTACTGGTGAGGCTAGTTATCCTCATAACAGGAGACTGGTTTCTGTCCAGAAAGGAGCTCATTTCACTATCCAGCCCATCCAAAATGAACCTGCAGCATGTCTCTCACGATGCTACACCTTCACCTGCTTGTTTGTGGAGTTTTCTCGTGTTTACATTCACTGTGTGGTCAGACATACTGATTTCCCTCCTCATGAATCATTTACCAAACTGATTTTTCAAAACCTGCATTATTTACAACCATGAGAATTAGCTGTCAATCATCTTCTTCTCTGCCGTTACCGATGCACTACTGTGTTTTCCACCTGCAGATGTGTGAAATAAACCAAATGAGGACCAAGATATAGAACCACAGCTGCATAATGCTGCTGCTACTGGACAGAAACTCAACAGATAACCACAGAACTGAATAACTTGTGCTGAACTCACATCTTATTGTGATTAGACTGTGATTATCTGTCAATTCAACTTCATGCCTCTGTGGGTGACCTACATACATAAGATGGCGCCAGTTATTCATAAGAGACATTTTCTAGGTCAGAAACCGGTATTCTGAGATTTAACTCCACATCTGGGACTGTTTCTGCCTGAGCAGCAGCTCTGTCCCTGAGAAATCTGTGTGGAACTAAAACTCCAGTCTGCTCTTCAGGACAGCTCAGTCTTGTCAGCTGCTTCGGCGTGATGGCCCCCTCCCACCTCAGAGACACCGGGCGCTAACAACGTCCTCCGGTTGTAGTGGTGGTGGCCCTTCATGATGCCCGAGTTGTTGTTCTCATTGAGGATCTGCTTTTGCTTCTGCCGATTGAGAGACTGCACTAGGCCAAGCACCACGGCCGCCAGCGAGTACTGGCCGGTGATCTTGCGTGGCTGCAGGATGAGTGGGTTGGGCTGCACCCGGCCCAGCAAGAAGTGCGTTCGGATCTTGCCCTCCTGCTCGCTGATGCCCTTCACGTAGATCTCCCCGCGGTACTCGAAGGCAAAGCCACGCTCCTTCAGGATCAGGTAGGTCTCTTCGGGCACCTGGATCTTGCCGCTCACACCCGTGCTGTCCATCCGGCTCGCCAGGTTCACCGTCTTCCCCCAGATGTCGTACTGCGGCTTCTTGGCTCCAATCACACCTGCCACCACCGAGCCGTGGGCCATCCCTGCCAGTGACACAGGGAGATTTGTTAATGAGTTTGTTTTTATTCTCTATGGATTTTTAGTCAAAAACAACCAGAATTACAATTTCCATCTGATTTTCATGTCTGTACACATTGTAACTCTGATGTGTGATGTGCTGCCAGAAAAGGTCACAGTTTAACACACAGGTGGTGAAGACGGGTCCAAACAAGGGTCTGAAAACCTGGTCTGCTGTATAAATACTGTGATGGGTGGAATCCATCCCGTGTCCATGATGATTGTGTGTGTGTGTGCGCACGTGCAGATGAAATTTTACTTTACATTGCTACATCTTCATTGTGTGACATTTATTGGCATGACACCCCAGTTTTTCTGTTTAAAAAAAGAATTTGGGACATTACAACATGTGGATTTACCTGGTTATATACAAACCTGTGATTGTTACACAACACCCCAGAGGCTATTTGAACAGCTTTTTAACCACTTTATCACATAATAGGCAACATGTTTGACTCTAAGCACAGAGGAAGTCAATTTGTAGGAACAGCATTAAAACTGGTGCTGGAACAATTGGTTGATTAACCTACAGAAAATCAACAATTCTGTGCCATTTCTTAAGGCAGGTGACCAAGGGTGCTCTCTAATTTATAAAACTGTAACATGAATACAGGAGTTGAATTAAAAAGAAACTCCTTACGAGGAGGAATAAAACCAAAATGAGCTCCTACCGATCCTCAGCTCAAAGTTGTTGAATGAGTGTTTGTTGATCTCCTGGATGCTCTCGTTGAGGGCGATGGCGAAGTCTGCCAACGCACACAGGTGACCCCATTTATCTTCACATTGCTGTGGGAGGCAGAGGAGAGGAGAAGAAGAGTCTGAGTCAGCCGACGTCTGGACCAGCATCAGATCTGCAGCAGGTTGAGCACCTACAGTCCTGCTCTCACTGAGCTGGATGAGGAAGCCACTGCTGTGCATCTACATGCGCATATTCAGGTGCATGAGGAAACAGTTGATGACTAGTGTGCTGCTAGTATTATGTACTTTAGTATTTTATTTACAAGATTTGGCACAGTTGTCTCTAATCTGCCTGCTAAGTTTAAGTCTTAGGTGGATTGACTGCAGGTCTGAACATCAGAGTGCAGATGCTCCACGGCATGACCAGATCTGTGTGTTGGAGAATCACAAAGTATCCAAGTACAGAGGGTTAGCTAATTAAACTGTGAATTAAATGAAACATTTGTTGATAGTAGGTTGTGTATTATTTGGACCAAGGTGCTTGTGTTCACACATTTGACACTAAAGTCTTTAACAAATTGAAGTTTCTTCAGTCTTCATAGTCCTCAGGTTAAAACACATTGTTATGGCTCCTCAGCGCCCTGTGGCTACAGAGATACAACAGAAACTGACTGGTCAGCTGCTTGCATTTTCTCTGAAACATGGAAAAAAGTTAAACAAAGGCTTCGTAATAGTGGGGTAGTTAGTGAGCAAAGCAGGAGACAGGAGGGTCTCACCTGTTTTTCAGGTGACAGGCCGGAGACGGCCATGTAGGTGCTGCCGATCGTCTTGATCTTCTCGATGTCCTGGAAGCGTTCCTCCCCCAGCAGCTGTGACAAGTGATGCAGCAGTTAGTGTTCCTGATCTCAGAACCTGTGCTTTCAGCCGCTTACAGGCTGCGCTCAGTGATTCTGAAGACGTCCAACATGAAACTACCCCAACTCCTGTGACCCTGCAGCTCTGCTGTACACTGTAACTGAACCCACCAGTCAAGGGTCCAGGGCTAAGCAATCTGGACAAAATGTGTCAGTGCCGTTTTTGTTTACACATTGTTGTGGTTAGACTGTGATCATCTGTCAATTCAGCTTCAGGGTGGTGGGTGCCAATTATTCATGAGAGACATTTTCGCACTGGACAAACCACTGTATGTCTTTGGATGATGTGACAACAACATGATGAATTGATGATTGAAAAACATCCCTTGGCAGAAGAAGTCTGGTTTGGACCCATTTTACATTCAGAACTAAAGTCAGGACTCAGAGACTCTCTAGTCCTCCAGCTGGAAAACTAAATAAACTAAGTGGCATTTGCTCAAGTGCAAATGCCACTTATGATACACTATTTAACTCCCTGCCTCCGGCCACATACTGTATGAATACAGCATACATAGTAGTTAGACAAATTGTAGTTGACTTGAGCACCAGCGTGGCTGAACAAGTACCAGCTGCTAAACCTGCTTCAAGAGAAAACTCCGGTGTGATCCTGCCAACCTCACCGTCTGAAACTACCACCACCAGAAACAGAAACAACCCCGTTTCAACAAGGAGACTGGTCTAAGCGCGACGTGGCACATTGGAGCTCCTGGTTAGTTGTGGAAATATTCGCCTCCATGTGCTCCCATGTGATTAACTGCTTTGCTGCTGGTTCTGCTGCTGGTTATATGGGTCACTCCCTCAACAAGAGCTCCCTGAGGAGAGAAGAAGTCAGCTGGCGTGTGAGCGTAGCCTGAGGCAGCAGGAAGTACAGCTGGCGTCTGCCCGGTTTCTTTCAGTAAAAAACTTACTGAAGTTCAGAGATTCAGTCAGTTCCTCTCGACTTCAGTCTGTCCACAGGGAGCCGGGCTGTGTGAGAGTTTCCACAAACTTTAGCGAGACTGATAACTCACACTCAGCCTGAAGCAGAGACGATGTCTCTTTCACATTTACCCCTGCTTTGTTTCTGCTCCCTGCAGTGCCCGTCTTTGTGCCAGGCTCCAGGACACTGTTTATGTGCAGAGCTTCAGCTGAAGCAGTCGAACAAACAAAGGCGGTCATGTTTTCCAGAAAAGCAAATCCTGAACTCAGCCAAATATAAACTTCAATCTGATTTCAATTAGACAGTCGCATCAGATCAAGATTTTTTAAATGAAGTTTAGCTAGTCAGTGAATTTTTAATCATCTCTTTTAACAAACATTGTTTTGTTTGACTAAGGGATGAGGTTTGTGACACTGACCGTTGCCTGTAGCTGTGTCTCGATGCCTGCAGGCATAATTGTGAGCCGATTACACAGCATTAGTTCATTACAAAAACACTGATGATCCAAACGGTGTGTCTTTGTTGTAATGTTTCACTGTAAACATTTTCTAACATTGTTGAGAGTTGGCATGAAACAAACCGAGCATTGTACAGGAGCGAGACCTGATACATAAGCATTCAAGTTTTCCAGGAGGTGTAGGAAACCTCCTGAATGTTTTGCAGAGAGGTCTACCACTGTGGCTCAGCTGGTAGTCTTTTTCTATTTCTGTTTGTGGTGAACTTTTCTCTTTATTAGAAAATCTGTTTCTTTTAAAGAGAGGAAGACAAACACATTTGTGGTGGAGACCTTGAATTGATAATCAGCAATCCTACTGTAGCATTACACATACTGCAATGCTTAAAAATCCTTCTGTAACTCGTTGGGGAAATCAGCAGTGGAAGGAAGCTCCAGATAATATTTTGTATTCTGTGTAGTGTTTAGTCCCTGTGGTGGTTCTATTCTGAGAGAAATGCCTGCTGATAACCCGCAGATGTGAGCTGTCCTGTTCTGTCTGCCTTTGCATTAATCAGGTCTGAAGTATTCCGGGGAACACGATGGATGTTTCTATCAAAGAAGGCCCTAAGTTGGCCCGAAGTAGAAGTGGGTGCACTTCAAAGCTTGCAGTCTCACCTCGTCAAAGTCGGCGATAATTTCGTTGAGGAGCCTCAGGCACTCGACTCCCTGGTTGTTCATCTCAGTCTGGGAGTAGAAGTCAGCAAAGCCTGGGATGGAGGCAAACATCACACCCACTGCGTTGTAGGACTGCGAGTACAGCTCCTGCGGGGACAAACGCGGATGAAATGAAATCATTCTTGCCATGTTTCCTTGATAAAAAAAATATACTTTCAGTCAGCATGATTTATTGTTTATATACAAGTTATTTGAAATACAGGGTGCCCAGGTTTTAGTCTCTGTGGTGTAACATGGTTTATTATGAAATATGACTTTGACAAGTTTCTGATTTTAAAGACTAATTCTGACTCTGCTGTTCATTCATCGAGAGGTAGATTGTAAGAGTGAGATTAGAAAAAGATTCAGCAGAATGAACAAACTCTGTGAAGATGCTTTTGTGTCCCTGCAGGACGAGGACACACACTTTCATACAGAGGGTTAAAGCATTCACCTTGACATCTTTATGAGGTGATGTTCTGTTTAAAGCAAAAAATGAAAGCATGACAAAAAAAAAACCTCAATCTTTTCGCGAAGATTTGTTTTAGATGATTTAGGTAGAGGCCATAAAAATGCATCAGCACAACACACTTCAGCTGAAGCTCTTACAGCATCGATACTGTTTCTGAGGAAGAGGCGATTTCATTTAGACAGCCTTTCCATTGCTCTTCAGTTTGTTTGATTTCAACCTGGGCAAATAAAAGTCAGGCTTTAAAATAAATGAATGCATCTGCACCAGAACCTGAGGGCTGAGCTTCCTGTGCCTTGCTCAGAAGCCCTGGGACACCGCAGCACACGTAGCAGAGTGGGTGACGTGTGTGTCGCAGCAGGCTGTGGCTGCACCACTCCACTGGGGGGCAGTGTTGACACACGACGACCCAGCTCTGCTGACATGGAGCTGCACCTCCACACACTGCATTCATGCCACATGCAGAACTCATCACGTCCTCGTGGGGATGTTTTAATAATAGGCTGGTAAACATAATGTCCATCCAGAGCCCAACATTTCAAGTTAATAATTCAGAAGACATCAGGCTTCTCCCTCGCTCTCTGCGCTCGGCTTGACTTTTTAACATAATTACACACTTACTGTACAAAAATAAGCCAGTGACTTCATTGTGACATCCTCTTGACATTATATACATTTAATGAGCTCAGTCAAAGTCAAAGCTTCAAAATGGAACTTGTTTAAAGTCTGACTAATTTCATTTCTTGGTTCTTTGCTGCATCTCTTTAGGTCAGATAATGTCAGTGAGTATTCAGAGTGAAGCGAAGCCTCTTAAACTACAGCTCAGGAGGAGTTTTCTACACGACATAGATGGGCGCTGACGGCCATCAAACGAGAGTAACACCCACCAAAAGTGTTAGGAATGTGTTGTTCCACTGAAGAGCTCAATATGTTTCACAGTAACATGCCTCTCCAAGCTGAAACATGTTTGGAGGTCACTCGCACACATACTGTCATAATGCTTTCGATTTCAACATGAAATAACATGTTTACGGGAGAAAGGACATAACATAAAAGACAAGACAAACATTTACAAAAGAGACAAAGACATTTTTACATTTAGTTTGTGTGTGTGGAAGTGTGGGTGTATCAAACTCTGTGCAGAGGGAGCTGTGGAGCAGCTCAGCAGGGTGGGGTCGTCCGGGGAGGCAGGACAGCAACATGCTTGTGTTATGGTCAAGTTAAACCTTCCCTTTGTTCCCTTTGTTCATCAGGGTGTCTTCATGTGCTGCTCCATACAATGTGTTGCTGAGATTTCTCTCTTGGGGTTTGTGGAGGTGGTTACAGTACATGTTCCTGTATCTTCACTGGAGCAGATTCAGATTTTGTTGCTGTGTTTGTTGTGGTGCTGTCAGAAAACAGCCTTCCTTTGTTCCATGATGTTTCCACTTATAAAAGCTTTACTTCTCCTAATCACCTGTTCAGCATAGGCCTCAGGTTTGCCCCATCGACAAAGAGAACAGCACTGCTTTGTACATGGTCGCTTCCCAACGTGAAGGCGGTGGAAGGCCTTTACTGTGAAAGGTAAAACTACACCGAGGTGTTCTCTACACTTTTTATTGGGAGGTTATGGTGAGGCTTTGGATGAGTGCAGCCCTGTCCTCCGATATTCAGCCTGTCAGGTCTGTGTGCTATAGTGTGTCCTCACAAGTCTGACACATCTGAAGGTCTTTGACACGACATAGTCTGACTCAAGCAAGTCACACTGATGCATCTCTAACAGCGGACAATGCCTACAGGACCTGCTTAATGCCTGCAACAACAAGTTTAACTCAACATAACCTTTCTCATTTAAATTTGAAACAAACAACAGAGGAGAAACAGGAAGCAGTAACTGAAACTGCTGCAAACACTAAATAACAGCGTCACTTAAAATACCTAAAAAAAGAAAAGGAAATTAAATAAATGACACTTCTGTCACCGGATTAATTCCAAAGATCACCAACACCTCTCAGGAGGAGGAGCTCATTAATAACGCAGAGCCCCAGTATCTAAATCACACAACAACAAACAGGCTGATTAATAATGCACAGAGTGATTAGGACCCAACCCATCCTAATGGATGCATTTTTAATCATGTCCTTTTTAATTAGCAGCAGGTCCGGGAGTAGAGTGATACCAGCTCTGCTGTCCTGACATTCATAATTCAACGGCCCCTCCCTGTTTGTTTGGGACGCAGCGGATGATTAGCGGCGGTGATAACGAAGCAGCCCGATGAGGACAATGTGGCGATTTGACCCCAGTGCGTGATAGCTGCCGTCTCCCCTGAGCAGCACAATCAGGCATGATTGAGCTGGTAAATGAGAACAAGGCAGGTGGGAAAGAAGAGAGAGACGCTGTCTTCTTCTTTTCTTTCACATAAAAAAAGTGTAAATTCTTATTTGAGTTTTTCTTAAATTTGAAGTCCTGGTGATGAGTATTTAAAAACATGCACCCCGAATCATCTCAGCTTTCGGTTTAACAGTGTCACCTTATTACTGAGGAACTCAGTGATCAGCCGTCGATACGTTTTCATTTTTAAGGTGTAATTAATCTTATCTCATTAAAACTAATGATTTTTTTCAATGTCAGTTGCTACTTTGGCCTAAACTGAAATATCACAATAGATCCGTAGAGTTATTCATGGCCCACACAGGATGAAGCGGAATGACTTTGGGAATCTTCTGGCTTCTTCTCTAACAGCATCATGTGGTCCGTATTATTTAGTCTCACACTCTGGATTACAACCAAATACCTGCACAACTACACAGATGCTCCCGTCAGCCTAAGCTGTGAAAATGTTACACTCTGATGCTAAACATGAAAAGCACACCTGCTAAACACTGTTGTCACTGTGAACATGTTAGCTTACTGACATTTAGCTCAACGCACCACTGAGCCCAAGCACAGCCTCACAGAGCTGACGTGGCTCTAAACTGTTAGTCCCATGTGGAAACATTTACCAACTTTCAGTCGTTTATGAAAACCAAACCATAATATATGGCCAAAGGTATGTGCACACCACTTCCCACTGGAACCAGGTACATAAAATCAAGCATGCAACCAGGAAAACATTTGCAATAGCATAAGTTGTACCAAAGGCCTCGTGGCTCTGTCCAACCCTATCTCTAGGCAAGGCTGTCAGTGTTGCATGATCTTCTCTGTGCTGTTACAGGTGAAAGTGGAAACGTTTAGGCGTAGCAGCAGCTCAGCTGCAGAGCTGTGAGCAACACAGGCAAGAAAAATCAGTTGCCACCAAGTTCCAAACTGTCACAGGACACAACATCAGTACCAGACCACCGTGGCTGAGCTGTGGTATACGTGTAACAACCGTGGAAAGGAGAAGCTGTCACTGATACTGGTACTGTTTTCCCAGTCTGGTCTGGAAGCACCTGACTGGCCTGCACAGAGCCCTGACCACAACCCCGTCAAACACTTTGGGATGAACTCAGGCACCAGCATCAAGCCAGACCTCACTCAGTGAAGCAAGGCCCTGCAGCCAGGTTGTGACGTAAACTGTCCATATACTTTTGTCATAATAATCCAAACAAAATGCATTCAAAGACCTTTGATACAGCGGTATGATTTGGAGTTCAAACATGCACAAATGCAGCAGCTTCACAAACGACCCATAAGATTTGTGCTTTGTGTGCGTTCTCATTTTAGTCTTTAAATGAGAGCAGAATAGTTCCAGTCAAAAGGGAATTAAACGTACAAAAGGAAAAGGGCAGCAGAGATAAGGTGAACAAAAAGGAACTTTGTGAAGTTTGACTGTGCAGAGTCAGGGCAGCTGAGTCACTGCTGTGGTGCAGAGACAAATCACTGTGTTCTCTGCTGCTGACTGACAACATGTTATTAAAATTGAATCAAATGCATACGACCAAAAAAAGCTCCCCAGCTTCACAAAGATTTCCGGCTGGATGAACCGCCCCACCAATTCTCTCTCTCTCTCTCTCTCTCTGTACAGTTGTTTGAAAAGCAATTACAGAGGTTTTTGCCCATTGGAACACGAGGCTCAGGGAACAAAGTGCACTGAATGCAGGGGACTGACTTCGGAGGTGAAGTGTGAGAGGAGGAGGCACCGCACAGAAACACTGTGCTGAGGACTCAGCAATAGGTTCACATTTGGCCTGTGGTTTGGTGAATGGTTCACTGAGAGACCTGAGCGTACTCTCCTAGCCGATTATTATTTCTGCCTGTGAAAACCCCACTGCACTCACAGAGTTAATACCCGAGATGTGGAAATGCAGCAATATCGCTAAAGACGCCTGATGAGACTGGTTGGGCACCAAACGCTGGTGGTTAAACATCCATCACTGTCACTGACCTTTCTGCTTCAGCTTTGACTTGCAATGAAGGTTTATTATGGACGGTTCAGGTAACCTCCAAATAAAGTGGTTCAGATTTCTTGGATGAACTTTTTACTTGTTTTCAAATGTGTGTCTTAGTCCAACAAACGTCATCAGCTAAAATTCAACATTTAGAATTTATAATAACTAACAGAAATAATAAACAAAACTACGAAACAAGGCCAAATGTGTAATAGACCATAGAATAGCCTTCTACACTGGGTTAAGTTGATTTGGAGGGCTTGGAAATAAACTTGAAGACTCATATAATTCATCATTGGTTTTCTGAAGCTTGTTGCCATACTGGGCTGTAATGCTGGGCATTTTAACGTGGGTGTTTACAGGGACTGACTCGCCTCAAGTGGCCATTCCAGGAAATGCAGGTTTTAAGACTTCCGCACTGGCTTCATTTCTCAGTCTCAGAGGTTGCCGCTTGGAAAAACTTCCCTGTTGGTGTGTTCAAGTGTTTGTTTTGACAAACAGTCAAATCAGTTGCTAAAAAGTAAATCAAATGCTATTTCCCATAACAAGACTGAGGTGAGTTTGGCTGCATTTCAGGAGCTAAATCTGGAGTTACCATCCTCAAGCACCAACAAAAAGAAGATTTTATGTGATGATGTGGTGCAAACAAACCAAAAGATAAGGAACTGTTTACTGTGACTGATGATGTACATCCAGCAGGCTTGACGACCACCTGTGGACACAAGTGCACCGTGTGAAGAAAAGACTCAAATGTACAAGTGAAGTGTGCAGCGACCTCGTTGTCCCGGTCCTTCTCCAGGAAGTGTCGGGCCACGTGGCTGGGCAGGATGTTCCTCAGCATGTTCTCATTGTGCTCTCGCAGCTCCTTCATCTCGTTGATCTCCTCTTTGGCCTGGACACGCCACAGGAAGTCCAGCCGGGCTGTGTACTCCAGCTGAAGACAGGCAAAACGCAAAACAGACAAAAGGTTACGTTTATCAGTCGCTGCAGAACCTGCTCCTCATCATTTCTGTGTGATTCAAGACTATTCTGAACAGGGAGTAAACACCCACCTTTCAACCCTGTACACATGTAGGCTGTTCATTCTTTGTAGTATTTCAAACACATTTTAATGCGCTGCTCTTAATGCAGTCTCAGTGTCTTTGGTTGCCTGTAGCAAGGTGTGTATGCTTTAGATGTAATGATTTTGTTCAGCACTTTGGTCAACCTGATTGTTTTTAAATGTGCTTCATAAATGAATTTTGATCTGATTTGATTCTGAACACATTTGTGCTACTTCTCTAGACCAGAAAATTCCTTCTCCACTTTTCCTCGCATCCTCTGTCAGACTTCCCAGGCAGGTCCGAGACTGTTTATACCAAAGATCAGGAGAAAGTCTGCTTACATCACTGGGATGATGGAGAGGCCAAGCTGCATTTCTGGAATGAACGGCTAAATTAAAAATATCTGTTAAAGGCTGGATCAATTATGAGACACAGGAGAGTGCGATCAATCCAGAGCATGGCTAAAGGACTTTAATAGGCAACACAAATTACTTTTCTGAATGCACAATTAATAAGAAGTCTGTTGAATACATTAGAGACAAAGAAAAGTAGCATTCAGTTCTTACTTTTATGAGAAAATGATTTTGGAGGGGTTAGGGGAAACTGTTTTGCGATTCATTTTCTAACCAGTATCGTGTCTTAATCACATGAGGTACAAACACTTCCATCTCATTTTCTGTTTATCTCATTTAGAAACGCAAAGCCTGCAGGCTTGCATTATCTATAGGGTAATGAGGGTGGGTGGTATAAAAAACAGCTCTCTCACTCATTAACCAACATAAACTACTTTATATATAGTAGCTGGTTTAGTCCAGTGGTTTCCAACTTTGCTTTTCACTAGATACAGCTGTGAGGTTGTGAGAGGGTTAAAGGCTTTTTTTAAACTTTTGATGCCTGTTTGGACCTTGATCAGTTGATGAAATGAAGCCACCTGAGAAGTTTAAAGGGGAAATCACAAGTCGCAGACATTTGGACCGGTCCATTTGGTCCAAATGTGTGGGAACCACTGGTTTAGTCTTAACAGTAAGGATGCATTGTGTTTGAAAATATTATGTGAAGTCTTAATCTAAAACAGAAACAATATCTGATCAGTGCAATGGAGTAAGAGTACTTGTGTTATTTGGATAACTGGGCCCTGCAGCTTTGACACTGCCAGTCAGAGGCCGCGATTCATCTTATGGTCTTAAAATGATTTTGTAGAAAAGTGGGGTGTCAAAAAAAAAAACCATTTCAAAATAAAAGCCTTGTTTATAGCTTTGTAATGAAACGTTTTATGTTCACTGTGCTCGATAATATAATTACTGCTCTGACTGGAGGCAGCCTTAATGAAGAACAACCTCATCTGGCTTCTTCAGCGTGCAGCCATTAGTTTATTATGTAAGACGCCTGAGCCTCATCTGCTGCTTCTGGAGACAGAAACCAGCTTCATAGTGTCAAATATCTGCTTAAATCAATTGATTCATTTGTATTACATGACCAGTCATACAGTCATACAGTCAGAAAAGAGTCTTCTATCCTGTGATTCCTAAAACTAGACTATAATCACTGGTCTGTTGTTATATCGGTCATTAAAAGGCTCACAGCATAATGTAAAGGCAAAGTGTGTGTAAACATTGTATGGTTGGTTACTGTGCAGACATCAGACACAACACATATTTAATAAGCACTGAGTGAGGATGAGATCCTGATGAAGAGGAATAAGAGGGCAATAGTCTCCTCCATCTCTAATAGGCTCATATTCACAGCAACACCCCCCCCACAAAAAAAAATTCACTTCAGGCCTGGAAGAGAAAGCTCTAATTAACGTCTTCACACCCTCTATGTTCACGCACAGAGGATGGTGATGTGAGGTTTCAGCTCCAAAGAACTGAAAAGCCTTGTTCCAGAGTCCAAAGGACAAAGCTGCTCTGTTTGCCAGTATATTACCTCTGTTATACATCATTACTACCTCTGTCTGTGGCTGGGTACCCAAACAAAGAGAGCCACTACTGTTTGGTCAGTTCGCTCCTCTTCTCCCGCCTCAGTTTCGCCCCAGTGCCAGTTCTCGGCTCAGACGTGGTTTCCCTGGCTCCACTAGCTGCGACAGTGGCTAATGGGCCGTAACAAATCGAGGCCCCAGCACCTGCCTTCAAGTTATAAATCTTCAGCTTTCAGTTCTGGCCAATTTGGTGACACCTGTGATTGCTGGTGGTCAGCCAACAAATGTGGCTAAAAGCCCTCCCAGGTTTCTTGTGTGAGTTTACGTTTTTCCTCACTTGTGTCTTCTCCTTGTCTTCTCCTTGTCTTCTCTACGATGTAAAGCAAGCGCAGAACAAATGTAAGACAAAATAACGAGGTTTCAACTTGACTTCAGGGGATATTGACCAAAAACACTGGCATAAACAAACTACTGTATCTACATAATGTAGACTCAAAAAGGTCAACACAAACAAATCTCATACTTTGAATCAGTGTTGATTTTTAAAATATAACCATCATCACTTTTCCCTAAGCTTCCTCTAATATGTCTCAAAACAAACACTTGGTCATTATGTTGATCCTCAAAAACCTTTTCAACGATTCAAATGACCTGAAAACAAATTTCACGTCTAGAAGACTGGGTTGTAACATGGCCCCCGCTGTAAGCATGAGGACAGTTTGTAATACCGATCAGACAGCCCAGAACCAGTTCCATCCATCCACCGTATTTAAACCTGGCACACAGCCAGAAAGCCGTGGACACTGGACCACAGAGCCAGAGCCGGGAGTGATACAGGCCTCCTGCCGTGAGCCGCCGTCGTCTCTGCTTTGCCCAGCAAGTGGTGAATTCACCCGGGAAAACCAGTATGCCGCTGGATGATGACTTCAAATGCAGCTGCTTTCTACTTTCATGGGACTACAAAGGACCTTCGGTTGCAGCCGTCTCCCCTCCGTCTCTGACCAACACCCTGAATGCCCTGAACCACATAAACAAAGGCTGTCACAAAGAAAGCATGAAAGCACCACGCTGACGCCAGTTGCCTTCAGATTGGTGCCCAACTGTATCATTATCTGACTGGCTTGTATAATGAAACAGAAGAGGTTTGTTTGTGGTTTGCTCTGTATCAGAAGAGCTCAGGTCAGATATCGCACAGCGATACAGCCTAACACTGCTGCTTATCAGAGGACTGAAGCTGCAGCTGAAGTGCAGAGTGGAGTGTGGGACTGGCCTCGTGTAGCAGTTAATGCTGACATACGCTCAAAGTCACATTCAACCCAACAACAAACTACTACTGGAGTCAGCAGCCAAGAAACCTCTGCTGGAAACACAGTGTGTAGTGTGTAGCCAGGCAAAACTCCACCCATAATGCACTCTGCAGAAAACAACAACAGCAGTAGCTGGAGGACTGACACACATAGTTCCACTGAGAGATGGGTCTTCTCTGCTCGTCTTGTTCGAACACCATCAAGACTGCAGCTGTCTCTCGTCTCCTCTGTTGTTCTTACTTCAGGGCCATGGCTAATTAGACAGCTGCATAACAACACAAATGATACAACACGCTCTTGCTCTCTCTGTTATTCCCTTTTAGAGGAAAGGGTCCCTGTTGTTTTTACCTACACCTTCACATTGGTTAGCCCCACAAAGCTCAGCCCCACCGGCTCAGGGCAGCGCAGTCGTTGGTTCCCTCAGACAAAGACTCCAAGGTTGAGCACTGCGTGATATTTGAAGCAGCATTTTAAAGAAGGACTGAGTAAAAGTTCATTAAAGCAGACTCTGTAGTGGCTCTGCTCAAACCCACTCAGGACAAAGGAGAATTACACAGTGACGTCTATAATCCAACAAGTGCTCCGACCTTTACAGTGAGATAACTGAGCAGTGCTTCTCTGAAAGACACACACAGGTTTTCTGATGTGACACCTCCTACGATCGGGCCAAGATCAGGTGAACATACTTTGAACAGGAATTTAATTTAGCCGACACTGTTCAGTCTGCCATCTCACCTGCTGGCCGTGGTAAAACACAGCGAGGAGGAACATGGCCATCAGGAGCAGAGACGTCTCCTTGGTTCCCAGGAAGTTTCTGTGTGAACACAAAGAGAAAAGAAGAAGCTTTAATAGTCTATTAACAAACAAGAACAAGTTTCATCCTCTTGCAACAATACAGCTCAGAAACCGAGCTGCTGCTTTACTGTTTGCATTGCAAATATCAGCAGGTTCTGATTTGAACCTAGAACCTAATACAGGATTAAAACATACAAATCTGAAAACAAGTGTTATTTATGCAGGAGAGGTTTGACAAATGTAAGTAGCTGTTTTAATACTTCTGTTCTGATCTGTTGTAAAAATAGCTGCAGATTCTTCTTCTGTGTATTGACTAATTGCTTCAGCTCTAGAATAAACAACAACATAAATGATGTACTGTGCAAACAAACCTCTGGCTCTGCAGTGGGAGTGTGTGCTACAGAAAATAAATGTTATATTAAGTCTGAAGCTTTTTGCAGTGCAGATGAAACAGCAGCCTGGCTTCCCAGGAGAATCTGCCTACAAACTGTGTAGAGTGTTTTTTTTTTATCTTAACAGGTCTATTCATGGTTAAATTCTCATTCTCATACATCAGTCACTGTAAAGGTCAATGTATTATAACCAGGGATGTCTGTGAGATGGGTTTCGTCGCAACATTTATGTCAGGCAAAAAAGGTCAACTTGGCTCCCTGATGCGTCTTTGAAAAGGCAGAGGCAGATGGAGAAATGAAAAGACATTAATGGACCAGTCTTTACTTTAATATGTGCACTTTGTTAATATGGACTTTGCAAGCACTAAGGAGCTAGTTTGACTAATTTACCTACATTAGTATCAAAACTTATACAGCAAACACAGGGGAACAAAATCAGGTCTGTGACTGTGGAGGGGAAACTGTTCTGTTGCTGAGTTCCTGGTCAAACAAGACGTGTACAGGCAGAAAGAAAGAAAATGAACAAATGTAGGGACAGCTGAACGTGACTGTATGTGCCACTCACTCTGTGTTGTGGTGGACAGTGTCGTAGCGAACAAAGAGCGAGGTGTAGAAAGCTTCGGTCAGCAGCGAGTAGATGGCAATCATCACCAGCAGCACGGCCAACTTCAGCACAGAATTCAGCCGCAGGAACACGGCACACGTCACCATTGCCAGGACCCCGGTGAACACAAAATACTGGGAATAAGACAAGGGCACGGTTACTCTCATCAGGTGCATCCTTTATTTAAACAACCTACTCTGCTTTAAATTGAGAATGTAAAGTAAGACTGAGTGGGATGTGATTCAGATGCTCACGCACAAAGCTTCTCTAATAATTTGGTTTATGACCAAATAAATGCAAACCTTGTGACCCTGCCATCAGCCTCAGCTGTGCTCTGTGTTTAGTAAATGTTAGCATGCAATCACACTGAACTACAACGGTGAACACACAACATCACACCTGCTAGCATGCTTTCTGAAAATTTTAATTCAGCCTAAAGTCACAAAAGAACATTTTAAATGCCAAAGCAGGTCAGCTTTCCTACTGCTCAATTGTTTATGTGGTATTCCAGCTAGAATTACATTTCCATAATCAATCTGCAACTAAAACAACAAAAAACAGTTGGCTTTAGTCTGTAGTATTGGCCAAAACACTTTCCCATTAAGCAACTCATTAGCATCTTTTTAATCAGACTCTCCCTGTCTGGTAAACATGCACATCTAAACCCTGAGTCGGTACCACAGACTGAGCTGATCTTCATGTGTGGTGCCTTTGAGAAGACAAAAACACTCAAATTATTTATCTTTATCTCATTGCTCCAAAAGCATCAACTAATTTAATATTCCAGTGTGGTTTTGCTCCAGCTAGAAAAAGACAGTAACTCTTCTTTCAACATCTAAAACAGCTCTTCTGTGCATGCACACATACACACACACACAGGCCTTCTTGACCCTCAGGAGTAAACATATTTGTAATGTTCTCATGCAGCCATATGCACCTCTCAACAAAGCTCGGGGCTATAGAAATGTTACTCCCTTATTGGGTCCATCAATCAGCTTCATATTGTGTGAGCAAAATAACGCATCAAATATTTTCTCTGATGGCTCCATCAGTTGCAGCTGTCTGAGAGCTGAGAGCTGATGTCACAGAGGTTTGAGTCATGAAGTCGCACAAGTGACAAAACACAACAGATGGACCTGGCTGTGAAACTCAGACCTGACCTCACTGAGACGCTACCTCTGGGTAGAAGCAGATGTCTGGGATGGAGGCCGACTCGTTGTACGTCTGGTTCCTCAAGGTGCTGGACTTGTCGAAGTCACACCACAGCTGTGAGACACCAATGGGGTCATTGTCATTGCAGGGCATTAAATTAATGCAGAATCAGTGTAAAATACCCAAAATGGCTTTTCATACATGATTTCATCAAGCAGTGACAAAAATAACATGAAAAGACGCAAGTCGGGATGTGTCACAGTCAATACAGAGGGATCATTATTAGTAGTAACATGTTTGAATTTCAGATTTTATCCATTTTTATTTGAAGTGTTTCAATATATGACATAAAAATCTGATATTAAAGACACAAGTAGTTACTGAGTATTCTGTTGCTCCGAGGGGATTCATGGTCAACCCCCCACCTTCACTGTGCAGGACAACAGTGTCATATCCAAAAGAACATTGGGGTGCATGGGGACATAAAGCTGGTTTTCTGAAAACTACCCAACTGCTTTGCTGTCTTTGTTGCCTTACTTGTCTCTGCTGTTTATTTCTTTTATGTTTAAAACACTTCAGCGGCTTCTCTTCTCGTGACCCTGCTGCTTAAAACTATTATTCCAATATACAGCAGCAAAAATATTTTGAAACAATGTTATGCATTTTAATTAACATAACGAGGAAACATTTTTTTATGAATACATCTGCAAAGTTACAAAATAATCATGGTGAATGTCTCAGGCTCTAACACTGCAAAACAGTGTTTAATTTTATCTAAACTATGTTGTATTTTGTCCACAGTATTGTGTTTTGGGCTCCATATATGAACTAATAACTCTTATGGTTTCTTCCAGGCACTAAAATCTGGTTAAAGTCAGAGACAGTTTGTTGTCATAGTTAAAGAAAAAAAAATCCCAGTGGTTTAGACGCCTAAATGCCACCACGGGCTCTGCAGTGTCAGTTAGATGCTACCGGTTGGTTGTCCATCATTACCATTAATAATAATCAGAATGTTAATTGATTTTTTTGTTTCTCTGAGTTCTTGTACACAAACAAACCTCTGCAAATCATTGTGAAGGTTCTGTTTCTCAGGGCTGTGTAATCAGATCCAATCAGAGACCCTGCAGCACCCAAAGCTAATTATCAGCTTCTTTCATGTGCATTAGTTAAGAAACGCCTCGTGTCGGATGTCGCCCCACTGAAGAACAGAGCTGGCAGCCCCAGTTAATCCGGGGTCGATGAGGTCACGCTTTCAGATCAGATTAAGGCTGCTGAATGAATGAATCTCAAAATTATGCAAAAGTCATATAACCCTTCCACAACACAAACTGATCACATAATACTCATTGTGTGAAAGCCCAACCTGGATTTAATTTAATGGAAAAATATGCTTAAAACTCATCTCTAGTCAGTTTAGGGTCTGTTTAAATACAAAGATAAAGATACATATGAAAAGAACAGGACACAATAAGGTAATATGATGTATAGGAAAGTAATGTAATAGATTACACACATACTGATGAGCTACACTTCCTACTCATAGGCTCCAGCTGTTACCTCTGGACCATGTGCAGGAGCTTCTTTTTATTCTGATGCACCTGTCAGGTCACTGAACTTCTCAAAAGCTTAAAAGGTTTTCACAGCGATGTCTGCAGAAACATGATCAAGGAAAACTAGTTGAAAAACAAAGCAGACTGAGGTGGAAACGTAACTCACTATATTGATCATGGCTGCCAAGAAGTTGATGAGGATTGAGACGAAGATGATGACATTTCGCGCAGCATAGGTCTCGTTGATCCAGCAGCAGGCTTTTCGCAGGACCAGAGGCAGACACTTGTAGTCCTCCGCCGTCGTAACTAGGACCAGGCAGGAATGGAGCAGGATGAGGACGGAGAACTGGATCACCATGGTTACCAACCTGCAGAAACAGCAAATGGCAAAATAACAACAATACCACCTGCAGTTTTCATTCTTATCACTGCTAAACTAAAGCAAAGCTCTGGGATGAAAACGTTTGAGCTTGAGCTTAAGTGTTTGCTCTGTGGTAATATAACATCAGTTTGTCATTGTATAGCAACAAGAGGAAAGCACAGCACATACGTTCGGTGTGGTTACAGCAACACTGTAACCAGAGTATATTATCTATCTGGGGCAAACAAAAGCACCCTGCTAAACATTTGACAGGCACATCTGACCGACCAATGAGCAGCATACTTAGGAAGTTTAAACAATACAACACAGTAGTAATGCTAAACAGCCATTTATCTTTGCATATGGACAGAATCCTCTTTCAAAACCCTTAAAATTAAACTCTTTATGAGAAAATAAGAAAACAGAAGCTAACCTGGACTGTGGCTCTGTTAAATGTGAAAACAACCATCAGTGATCATAGTCAAAACTGTCTATACTCTTTTACCTGGCAGAGGGGAGCAGGCTTTGGATGGCTGTGATGAAGATGAGCACGATGAAGGCGCACACCAGGTTGGACTTAAACACCTCATCCCTCATCTGGGAGTACTGCACCATGAAAAGGAAATGAAGCAGAGGACAGAGATAGAGAAACAGGGTTTCAGACAAACAGAGAAGACTGAACACAGCAACCTGCACCTCAGACACACCAGTGCACCGCCACACACGCATGCAACGCTTCAACCACAAGCGTTAGAGAGAGACAGGAGCCGATGGGTGAGCTGTGGGGTCCTGGGGAGGTGCGAAGCCAGCAAGCACAGTGCTAGCTGTTAGCTGTTAGCAGTTAGCCAAGTCAGAGACTTCAGAATACACTGAGGTGGGAGATGGATTTCGAAAATATTTGTGACATTTGAAAAATATTTCTATTATTATTCTTAATAACAAGCATTTTATTGGCCCTTCAATATCAACACTAACAACTCAACCACAGTAAAATGGAAGAAAAGCAGTGGCAGGGAAGTCACCCACAGTTAAACCCAGTTTGTTTCTGATACCTACTGTTCCTCCATTGTATTTCTCAGAATAATTCAGCATTTTTTTTTACTTCAGTCATTTTTGTCAAATGGCTAAATTTACTGAATGTGTCACAGATTCAACATTTAAAATGAGAAAATCTATCTTGGCGTTTTACAGAACTTAGCTGAAATAACACAGAGACAAAAGATGCTTTGCAGTGTGGGAATTTTCAGCATTAACACAATCTTAAATAGCAGTACTTCCAATTTTGTCAGTTCAGCTCATTCTAATATTTGTTTTACTCAAGGAACTTTGGATTGCATGACTTGTATCTGTAGTTCAGTGTGGTGTTACTAGTTTCGTTTTATTGTATTAAAGTACTTGTCAGGGATCATCCTGATGAGCCAGAGTTTCTTTTGGTCTGAACAAATTGCTTAGAACACTGAGCTTTCTTTCCAGGAATTAGATTAGAATAATAATAGGAGCCAGAGTTGAAACATTCCAGCTCACTAGAGCTATGCAGGCAGAAATGTAAAAATGTCACTTTGTTCTCTATTTATATACTGTAACTAACATTATATTGGCAAGCATAGCTGGTGTCTATGCCAAGCTAACTGCTTCCAGGGCTCCACTACTGAACGCACAATCATAAGAGTGTTATTGATCTTCTTAGTTAACTGTGGAGAAAATCGGAATGAGCTTAATTTCCAAAATGCTGAACTGATATGCACAAAGATGTACAAATGAGCATCATAAGTTTTGCTTAAATTAGTTAGAAATGAATGAAATCTCCACCACTGCAGGGAAGTGAGCTGTTGCTGAGCTGAACAGATTTATTTTCAGGATCTTTGGGGGGTTTACTGACATAAAAGGAGAATCCTGTCTGGTGTCTGAGAACACGGGCCTTCACATTTCCTGAAGGAGCCTGGTGCTGCTGTCAGACTCTAGACTGATAAGTCACCAATCTGGATTGACACCCAGACACATCTCAGTCCTAACCTTTCCACCCCGGTGACCCCTGCTGCCCCGTCCTCGCTCTGTCTCTGTCTTATAGGGTGCTGGGAAATTAGCAAGAGGATACTTCACGTTTCGTCACAACTTTGGCAAAAAAATGAAAGAGGCCAACAGCAAATCACTGCACACTTACTGAAGAGGTAAACAGGTCAACCAAAAAGATAAGGTTCTTGGAAGTGTTTTGAAGATGGCGGAGGGATTCAAAGGGAAACACAAATGTAGAGGAGGGAACGGGCCAATATGAAGGTCAACTCAAAGGTCAAAGAACCAAAAAAATGGGGAGAAGTTGGACAAAAAGCTACAGAGGTGCTTTGCATTCAACAAAGAAAAAGAATATTCAGAGACATTTTCTTGCAGTTATGACTTCCATATCTCATGATTATAACTTAACATCTTGTAATAAGAGCAGTAAGAGAATTACCATGGTTACATAATCAGTTAAAATGCTGCCAAGCCCCCCCCAAAAAGAGGACTTAAAGCAAATTAACTCCTTAGAAATCCAGATTTCTACTTTTATTTTCCCTTAAAGCTATTCCCTGTTCTGACAGCATCATAGCACTGTTACATTATAAAGAAGCTTTCTTGTGTTGTACAGCATTTTACAAACTTTTCTCAAATTTCTTTAGGAACTTAGAATTTAAAATAAGGTTTTGTGGACTTCATCGGTGCTTGGCTGCTCAGGATTAGGTTGTGTCAACTGACCAAACAGAGATCTGTTAAAATTCAGGTGTCATCATAGTCCTGCCTTTCATGTTGATCCTTTGTAATAACTTCACACTACGTGTTCTGTGGCTATATTTAGTTAGAAAGCAGTAACCTATGCGTAGCTCCTACAGCCTCAGCTGTTTTACTGTGCTCTGTGTGTTCCTGTAATGTGTTTATCTTATTTTGTCTTCTCAGATACATAACTCAGCTGTGGTAACACGATTTTCTTTATAAATGTGCTCTATTTTTTAAATAAAGTAGTACATCATCAATATCTAGTGACCTGCTCTCGCTGTTATTAACTCTATTATTGGTCTATAACTATTTCAGGGTAAAGGCCTCATAATTATGAGGTGTAAGGTTTTAGTTATAAGACACAGAAGACAAAAGTTTGAGAAAACATCTCAGAAATGCTTTAATTCTTTAGTGAATGCAACGCACTCCTGTAAAAGAAAAAGAAAAAAAATTGAGCATGTCAACGTTTCCATGAGACTGTAAAAGGTTCACAGGTCCATGGACTTTGGGTCATGAGTAAACTGAAGGGGGTTCTGCTCCGTGGCAAAACAAATCTGTGCTGCCAAACACCAATGTCTCGCCCAGCCGTCTAGCCTGTACTACAAAGAAAAGCTCAAAGCAGATTTTTTTAAAATTCCGAATCACACACAAGTCACATGGTTGAGCTGGTTTAATGCTTCCGCACAATAATGGCAGTAACTTTAAAAAAAAAAAAAGCACATTTTGTTCTGAGGATTTACTGATTCAGGTACCTGTGTTTGTTCCTGGAGTCTGAGGTGTGCCATTTATTAGAACTACTTCATAAATGACTATTTTTAGAAAAACTATCATAATCTAGAGCATTAAATTTCACGCAGTGCGCTGACTCGGTGCATCTTCAGAAATTTCTCACAGAAGACACTGAAAAACATTGATCTACGACAAACTCATTAAGTTAATAAAATAAACATTAGCAAAATACATCTGCAGATTAATTATCCAATTATTTTGTTCTTGAGTAAGAATATTTTACATTTCAAAAGTAATCACAAACAGTTATAAACAGCCTTTATACATGACTTTCTTCCAAACAATACCCGCTATAAAACGGAAACGCAGTGAGCTCGATGCAACACGAGAGGCTGGCGGTAAATGGAAGAGCAACACAAAATGTCAAAGCCTTTAAAAATTCATATTCAATTGTACAGAAAATACTATTTCATAATTTTAAACCAGAAAGGAAATTACTGATCACAGAAGCAGAATTACTGATCACCTGAATTCATTGGAGCATCATATAAATGCAAATTCAATTTATAATAACAACAAACTAATTAATAACTCTAGCCAGTAATTATTCTGGTGGCATGCATCAGACTCCATACGTGTGTGTGTGTGTGTGTGTGTGTGTGTGTTTATTTACCCATAAAATTCCTCAGTTACTTAATTTTTTCTGCAGTACCACAGGTGCCTTTAGCTTACTCATGATAGGAAAGAAAAAACTTTCGGTCACTGT